AATGTGTGAAAAACCCTCATTGTTCATTCACACGTTGGTGAAACCGAACACCTGCTACACTCTTGGATGTAAGCTTTCCTCCTTTGGCCAAAATCAACATGCTTCAGCCCACATCACAGACAGAATAACTATCACCACATTTTAAAAAAGTCATTGAGAAGAAGAGATAAAGAATGGCTTTGTTCAGTGTGAAAGGAAAGTGGCTTTCGCCACCGCTGAAAAACGTCGGGACACGCTCAAATGCTTCTGTAAACAAGCAGCAGAGAGAGGGGGCTCGTAAAACCCTGACAGGCATCGCACATCAAAGCCAAGCATGTCTATTAAATCATTTCAGGGGAATAATCCACCTCAAATGTCCCATGTGAAACCTGTCGAGGTGGAAATTAAAGGGAGGAAATGGAGCTCGCGGCCCGGAGGTTCTGACGCACGCGGGAACGCTCTCTCATCACTGCAGCCTCCAAATTTCCCACCTATTACTGCAGGTGTGATCTGGGGTCGGCCAGTCACTTCAGGGGAGCAGCAGTGATTACTGACTGGGCTACACTGCAATTAGCCAGGGAGTCTGCAGTGGCCGAGTCTTTGTAGATTTGTTCTTCTCCAAAGAGAAAAACTGGACCGCTTTCTTTTTACTTTCAATGCATGCTAGTGCTGTGCCCTTTATAATCTCTCCATCCTCTCTACTAAAGCCCCTATATCCAGTATCAGTAGCCACGTTTACATGCAGCCTGATAATCCGTTAATAATCTGACTAATAGCTCAATTGGAATAGAATATGTCCATTAAAACACCTAAATAGGAATAGACTAGTCTGATTGATGCCATTCAAAATACATTTCCTATTTAATTGAACGAGGTGAGTAATCCTGTAAATAATCCATTAAATAGAATAATAATAATAACCATGTAAACGCCTATATCTGATTACATTCCCTATCGGAAAATTTAAGTACGTTCGTCACATCATAGCGAAAGTTTATAACGTTCAACATGGCGGGAGCAGAAACTGGACTACAGAGGAGACAAAGTTTATGCTTTGAACTTTAAAATGCAGTGGCGGGACAGGCGTCCAGCTTATGTGTCTCAGAACGTGACATCTTCCTCTCGCCCTTCTTTAATAAGTACACATGAAGTATGTTTTCCTGAGTTTGACTGCTCACTGCTGCATGTCTCACTCTGACTGGACTCACGTCATGCTCGTTGTCATGTGATGTCATGTGATGCTGGCCAGATGACTGGGTCAGAGCATCTTCGAAATGGCAAGGCTTGTGGGTTGCTTCTGGTCAGCTGTGGTGAGTATCTACTGACAGTGGTCTGAAGATGGCCAAACCACAAACCATCGACAGGGTCCTTGGTGCCCAAGGCTCATCTATGCATGAGAGCAGGGAAGGCCATCCTATCTGGTCCAAACCAACGGAAGGGCTACTGTGGCACAACTTACAGAAATTTTTAATGATGGCTACGTGCCGCTGCAGACTGGTCGGAGTGTCTATGTTTTCTCCTTTCCACCATCGGAAACTCCTACAATTGGCCAAAAAGGCCACCTAGTCTGATGAGTCCTGCTTTCTTTTACATCACATGGATGGCAGAGTATGCAGCATTTACCTGGGGAGGTGATGGCATAAGCCACTGGAGGGAGTGTGATGCTCTGGATAGTGTCCTGCAGGGAAACCCTGGGTCCAGGCATTCATGTGGACGTCAGTTTGACATGTGCCAACTACCTAAACATTGTTGTGGACCAAATATGCTGACAGTATCCAATGGCAGTGGCCTCTTTCAGCAGGACGCCGGGCGTACAAATTCCCCAGATCCTAATCTGATTGAACATCAGTGAGATATGCCGGAACAAGACTAGTCTGCAGCAGCTTCACCTCACAACTTACAGAACTTTAAGGATCTGCTGATAACATCTTGGTGCCAGATACCACAGTGCACCTCCAGAGGTCTTGTAGAGTCCGTGCCTCGGTGGGTCAGAGCTGTTTTTGTGCGGTACATGGAGGACCTGCAGCATACTACGCAGGTGGTCATAATGTTTTGCCTTGTAGGTGTATATCCTACATCATTCAATGTCGCCTTAACAAGTTTTAATTGGAGAAATGTGACCAAGAAAAGCTTGTGAACTGACTGGTACACTATATTCAGTGTTAAAGCCACAAGCATGAAAAATGGATGTGGTTGTTTTGAGGCAAAAAAGGCCTTGAGCTTTATTTATAGAAAATAATCACATTTAAATCATAAAATTAGAATAAAAAAGTGCATTTATATATTTTCCCCAAGTCTTTCAGCTCTATCACTGACTCTCGGTATCACTTGCACACGGTATGTTTATGTTAAATTCTGTAAATAAACAGGGATTTTGAATTAAAATATGCTAAAGTGTGTTCTCTATAGAGGACATGTTAACTTTTAAAAAAAAAAATGAACATCCCCCTCGCCCAAACTCATGCATTCTACTAAATTATGATTTCAGCATGCAGTTAGCACCAAACTAATTGGTTAAGACACTTGTTAGCTACATTAGTCTTGTATCTCCAGTACAACATTCACTTAACAAACTCTGAACACCAAACACATTCTCGCTGATAAATTATGTTCTGGGTAAAGGAAAAAAATGTGGAAATGACCAAAATATTTCTTTCAAAGAGCAAATAATTTAAAGTCCAAAGGTGAAAACACACAAAGCATTAGCGTTAGTGTAATTTCCCCTCACGCCTTCCTTCTTAACAGAAGGCTCTCTTATCTAATGCCATCACAAACTATTTGCGGAGACCCATTCTGGCCCTCTTTTGACTCAAAACATAGGAAAGCAGAGGAGACACCACTGCTGACCTTCTCTTCCTGCATGCCGGAGCTTCTTTAGCTGCACAGATGAGCACATTTAGCAGAGAGTCATTAGGACTTTATGGGGGAGAAATGTGTTTACTCAGACAACTGGCAAAGGCAACAGCTGAGTGACAGGTTCAAACACTCAGCCTGGCCAGATCCCTCCGCTTCGTTAGAGAAACTAATGGGGTGTGGAGGGGTCGGAATGTGACTGCATGCTTGTTTTCATGTATTCACAGGACACAAATGGAATACCAGAGGGAAGAAATGGGGCTGAACTAGATGACCAGCTGAACGCTACTGACTTTCTGAAGTGCTTTTTTAGAAAAACTAAAATAAAATTTCTTTTTGGTTCCTGAGGTTAAGGTAAGTCAGGTTTATGAGTAGATCTTAGATCTTTCTTACTACATATACAGTATGGTGAAAAAGTAAGGAGATTAGATATTAGGTAACCCACTTGATCAGAGTCTCCGACACTTGAGTTTAAATAGTGAATAAAAGCTACAGAGAAAATGGGACTCCTAACAACCACCTGGAAGATCTGTTGGACACAAAAACTGTCCCCATCAGATAAACATCATTTAAAGCTTTCATCTTTGAGAGAGAGGAGAAAATCAAGCTGCTTCAGATCTGAAAACATCCACAGGTGTTTCTGTTCAACCTTCCACTGTGAGAAGACAACTCAGCACTATGGGTCTGAAAGGATGTGTAGCTGTCAAGAAGCCTCACTGAAAAAAGGAGACAGACACATGAAACATAGAAGCTGAATAATGGACTGACCACCCCAAAGTCCATACCACCACATAACTTAATGTGTTTGGATTACTTCAGAAAATGATCAACCAACTTCTAAGACTGAACTTTGGCGGTTTGGAAAAATATATATATGTAAATGAAAGACATATATGGGGCATTTGTATGACCTTATGTCCTGACATTGTAAAAAAACAATCCGTGTGTGTGTGGTCTGGAAAGGAAGGATGTGGGGGAAGAGAAGAGGAGACAGAGAGAAATTATGATTAAGTACAAGGAGGGAGGAAAGACAGAAAGAGGAAAAAAAGTACACAGTCAGATAAAGAGTGCAGAGTGACAGACGGTGGTGTCGTTTTTTTTCCCCAGGTTTAACTTTCCTGCACTCTAATCCTCCTGCCTTCAGGATAGAAAAACAAAAGGAGGAAGTGAGCTGTGCCAGGCTGACTGAAAGACAGAGCTACGCTTGGATGAAACCTCAAACAGGCCATAAATAGCGGCACCTTTCAGGACTGGCTTGTAGCATCCTATTCAGAGAGAGAGAGGGAGAGGGAGAGGGAGAGAGAGAGAGAGAGAGAGAGAGAGAGAGAGATAGAGACAAACAGGTGCATCCAGGGAAGGAGATCTCAGTCACGATTTCTACTCACACTGCACGCAATGTGAAAAATGGCCTTGCACTGGAATGCTTTCCCTCCAGTCCCTGTTGTATAAGTGATAATTGCACATACAGTACTGTGCAGAAAAGTTAAGCACTACTGTAGCCAGATTAGCTCACCCAGAGGAGGTTGTATGATGTCATTTCTTGTGTTTTGATTGGCTGATTGGTTAGAAATAAGTGTGTAATTTCCCCTAATTCCTACAGATAGGAATTGGATTGAAAATGTCATAACCTGTCAGAGTTATACCACAGAACACTCAATAACAATAACAACATGGCACATGGCTGATTACTGTGGGGAGGATTTGAACAGAGCTACTATCAATTAGGTTCCAGTTTCAGCCAATCACAGAAGGCCATTCACTACTGTCAGACACTGCAGATTCACTGGATTAAAATCACTCCACAATTATAACTGTCAGACTGGAAAAACTACACACTGCAGATTCATACTGGATTAAAATCACTCCACAGTTATTACTGTCAGACTGTAAAAACTACACACACTGCAGATTCATACTGGAATAAAATCACAGATCTCACTGGTAATCACTAAGATTAGAGTACCCATATTATATTAAAATTTCATTATGTTTAACACTACATTGACTACTACATTGAACATGCACATACTTCGTACAGCAGATTAATCCATTTGGGGGTGCACAGCATGCAGTGTGTATGCAATTGGGTATTTCCACCAGAGAGGTCTCAAGATCTGCAAACACTTATTGCCCAGAAAAAATAGCTTTAAATATAACTTTCTGTTTACCTGCTGGAGCAGAGAGTAGTGGATGCAGAAGCCTGGGTCAGAAGGGAAGTACTCGTCTGAAACAAAACGAATGCGGATTTGATTCCCTTTGGACACCTGAGGACCAGGGATATCCTGAGAGCCACACCAGCGACCCAAAACCATCCCCTCAGAAGGCTCCTCCACTTCCACATAATCATACCTGCAACAGCAGAGGAGAGAAAATGCTCAAACCGGAATGCTGAAGGAAAAAATCTGAAGCGAACAGGCTGGACTGTGAAAAAACACAATAAGGAACAGTGATGGTAAAGGAATGATTTGGTGAAAAATCAAATTTACACAGTTTTCTCCTAAACCCAGTCAGCTGGTTTTGATAAATTATGTGTTTAAATGTTTACAAACCAGGTCTCAGCAATAAGACTACCCGATTCTTTCACTAATAGTCAACCAATGTTTTTTTTCTGAAAAGCAACTGCTATATGAAATATCAACTGTTATAGGCTATACCAATTGCTATGTACCATACCAAACATTACACGATATACCAAGTACTACATGATATATCAACCACTATGCGAAATACCAGCTGTTGCATATGATATACCAACCGCTATATGATATACTAACTGCTATACAATATACCAAGTGTTACATACAATATACCAACTTCTATACGATGCAATCGTTATATAAAATACCATCTGCTACATATGATATAGCAACCACTATGATATACCAACTGCTATATGAAATACCAAATGTCGTGTACAATATATCAACCGCTATATGAAATACCAAATGTTGTATGCGATATATCAACAGCTATACAATAAACCAGCTACTATGCAAAATACCAACTGTTAATTACTATATATCTACCCCTTTACAATATACCAACCGCTATGATGATTTATCAACCTCTATAAGATATATCAACTGCTTCACAAAATACCAACTATTATATAGGATATACCAAGTGCCGTGTATATCAACTGCTATATGATATACCAACTGCTATATGATATACCAACTGTTGTGTTTGACATATCAACCACTATATGATTTACCAGCTGCTATAAAATATACTGACTGCTAAACAGTACACTAACCGCTATACAATATACCAAACTCTAAACAAAATATCAAATGTTACATGATAAATCAAGCGCTACACAATATACCAACTGCTATATGATATACTAACTGCTATAAGATATACCAACTGCTTTATAATATACTAACTGCTATAAGAAATATTAACTGCTATACAATGTACTAACTTCTAAATGATACACCAACTGCTATACAATGTACTAACTTCTAAATAATATACTAACTGCTATAAGAAATACCAACTCTTACATGACATACCAAGCAGTATACAATATACCAATCACTATACAAAATAAAAACTGTTGTGTATGGTATATATCAACTGCTGTGATATATTAACAATATATACATACAATATACCAACTGCTATACGATATTCTAACTGCTATACAATATACCAACTGCTATACAATATTCTAACTGCTATACAATATACCAACTGCTATACAATATACCAACTGCTATCCGATATTCTAACTGCTATACAATATACCAACTGCTATACAATATACCAACTGCTATCCGATATTCTAACTGCTATACAATATACCAACCACCATATGATATACTAATTGCTATCAGATATATCAACCACTGCAAAAAATAGCAACTGCTATATAAAAATACCAATTGTTACATATGATATACCAATCCCTATATGAAATACCAACTGCTGCGTATGATATACCAAATGTGATACGAAATACCAACTGCCACACAAAATACCAACTGTTACATATGATATACCAATTGCTACACAATATACCAACTGTTACATACGATATACCAATCGCTACACAATATACCAACTGTTACATGTGATATACCAATCCCTATATGAAATACCAACTGTTACATATGATATACCAATCCCTATATGAAATACCAACTGTTACATACGATAAACCAATCCTTATATGACATACCAACTGTTACATATGATATAGCAATCGCTACACAATATACCAACTGTTACAAACAATATACCAACTGCTACACTATATACCAGCTGTTACACACAATGTACCGACCTCTGTATATCAACTGCTATACAATATACCAACTGTTACATACGATATACCAACTGCTATACAATTCACCAACATCTATATGATATACCAACACCTTTATGATTTTCCAGCCGCTATACGGCATATCAACTGCTGTATGATATATCAACCACTATAGACCAACCGCTATAGGACATACCAACAGCTATATGATAAATCAACACCTATACGATTTTCCAACTGCTACACAATATACCAACAGTTTTACAAAATACCAATCACAACCATTACATATGACAACGACTGTACAAAATATCAACCACTATCTGCCATACCAACCCCTATATGATATACCAGCTGTTATATATGTCTCTTCAAATGGGCTTTAAGAGAAGTTCAGCCACACAGCAAGCTTAATTAACTCCTTTTCCTGAAGACTCAGCGCTTCTCTCTGACTTCATGTTTTTGTGTTTGGGTGAGCAGCCCTTTAATTCAGACCACATTAATCTGTGTCGTGGGAAATTTGGTTTAGATTACTAACACAGAAACACATCAGCATCGCAAGGCTGAAAAATGAGAGCCACCTGCATCACACAGCGAGTCTGTTTTTAATGTCTGTCTGGGGACGCATGTGAGCGGGTTTTTGTCCCCTGTTGCCTGCACACCATTTCGTTTCAGCCTCTGTCCCATTTCCCTCTGAGTGAGGGATTGCACTGAGCAAGCTAACGGCTAAATGGGAAATAACTGCAGGGCTAATGCTGCGAGTGGCTCCGCTGAGAGGCGTGGCAGCAAGATTATTAACTAAAACATTAAACACGCACACAGTCAGCGGCGACGGGTGGGAGGGAATCGCACATGAAGAGAAAGGATAACGCTCAGAGAAATGGAGAGAGATGGAGAGGGACATTAGCGTAAAACTGTTGAAATTAAGCCCCATCATTCCTATTTAGCCATAATTTCTCTGATGGCCTCCCTCAGACAAAACCAATTAAGCTCAACAAGCCTGACCATCATCTCAAGGTAGCCGTTTGTGCTCCTCATTAAGGCCAGTTACAGCCTCAGCACATACAGAGGTCCAGTGGACACTTCATGTTGAGGGCTTCAGTAACAGCCTGGATTCTCAGCCTCCGTCTGTCTGCAGCCTGTAGCTGTTCCTTCTTTCTTATGTGTTGTTTGCGTATTAGTTTTAATCTGACTCTTATTACACTCTTATTACAAGGATGGGAATAAAGCTGAACTCGACTCATGAATCATTATATCGGATGTAAGATTCATTGAAATGAACAGTTAGAAAGAATCAGCTTGGTAAACTGAATCAAACTTTCCATTACTACATTTAAGTTGTGTAACGATTCACAAAATGCAGAATTTGCTACGATAGTGTCATGATTTGATGCATTTTTCAGTGCAGCTGAAAAAGAGAGCCTGAAAATGAGCCTTATGTTAATGTTAATGTTTCTATTTTCAGTTTTTCTGTATTATATCGTAAAATTTGTATATCATTACACTCCTAACACGTTGTATTGTATTACATCTCCAGTACACTTTTAAAAAAGTTGGTTCTTCAAGGGTAAAAAAATGGTTCTACAAAAAACCATGAATGCTTAAAGAAACATTTGCATGATTAAAGGGGTCTGTTAGCACCAAAAAGGGGTTCTGCTATTGTTATGATATGGGTTATAATAGCAGAACCCTTTTTGGTGCTATATAGAACCCTTTCACCATTCAAAGAACCCTTTAAGTGTTCATGGTTCTACATAGAACCATTTTCTTTACTAAGGAACCCTTGAAGAACCAACTTTTTCAAGAAAGTGGATAAATAATAACATTTAAAGGACAATGTAGTGCGAGCTTGTAAGAGAGACACCTTTGTTTCACATTTATATAATGAACTTGCATCAGCTCTCAGGTGAACCAATTCACTTCCTACTAATGAAGGTTTTTCTCGATTCCCCTGATAAATTCACAGCTGTAATTGAACGATTTTCAAATGGAGATAATTGATTTAAGATCTGCAGGGTTTTAATTAAAGTTATGGCAAAGCTTTTCATAAAGCACACACAAACACATGGGCACTCTAATTGTACCCCTCTCCTGCGGCGCTTTTGGCGTTTCATGCCGCAGTCCTTTGATGCAGTTTGGGCTGAAAAACTCAGCCAAACCATTTTTAAAAGAGGAAGGAAAAACACAGTCGCAGAGTGAGCTGGTGTTATTGCTGCCTGCGCGGGTGCGATGCTCCTACAGCACTCAATAAAGCCTGGTTTCAGCATTTGGTGCCAAGGCCTGCTACTAATCATCTGACTGGATGAGACAGGCATGCTAACCCTGTGTGCTCTTGGCTTTCTGGACGGAGTGTTTACCCCTCAGCCCACGTCCTGGAAAAGCAACACAGCCGTCACGCTGCACAAAAACACACGTTTGCTGAAATGTTAGACACACACACAGGATGGCTAATTTCCTTTTAGCTTCGATTTGCACTCGGCCAGCCCGGTTTGAACTGTCTGATCCCAAACAAGGCGGTGCATTCATTAAACTATTCAAGGTCAGCCTGGGGCTGAACGATGTGGACCTGCACTGACCAGTACTCTGCCATTTAAATAAGACTGTTTTCTATAAATCCAGGATCCAGGCCTGTTTTTGGCTAAAAACACCAACATACCAATTTTTTCTGGCTTGAACACAAAATAAAGTGTGCCAGACTGCTAGTCAGTTGTGGTTGTGATGTCATGTTCACAGCATGCAGGTGTGCGGTTGCTTTTGATTGGTCTATGACTGGCTTCACGCAGTTAAACCTTCATGCAACCAATTGCATAGTGTGAGTTGCCTGCAACATAATTTTCATGCAACCTGACAGTTACACAAAGCAACCCAAAAACAAAGTTGCATGCAACATTCATTTACTCTACAAGTTAACCAAAATAGCAGTTTGTATGTTTATCATTCTCACTAAAATGTCCATTGATCTGGCAAAATCAAATCTGAAAGTGTCTTTCGATGTGTTGCTGCCGTTTCAACTGCCTGTTTCATGAAACTCGTTCCATAACATTGAGTCACTTGCAACTGCTGCAATGAAAGTGCA